GCAGCTATCCCCTACGGTTATACGGTCCCTCGCGTGGCGGTTCGGCGTAAGTGGCGTGCCTATTTTATTCGGGAAGCTCGGTGATTGTGGTGCTTGTCGCGCGGCTCCGTGAGTGGCTCCCTGAGGCCGCCCTTGAAGTAGTGTCGCACGTGCCCTGGTGGCTGCAGCAACTTAGTCGCGCGGCCAGCCCTTCTGGTGCAGTTGCCCAAGCTAAACATGCCTGCCGAGGGCCGCGTACCTTCTCGCGCCGCAGGTCTGCGGCGAAGTACTGCATCTTTGGATGCGGGGGATTGCGGGACACAGGTAATCTCAGACACTTTTCAGCATGTCCACGGGTGATAGGCATGCTTGGCCCCCGGGCCAGCCAAGATTTGCCTGATCATGGCCATGATTGGTGCTCGGACCCTACGTTGTTGACGCTTCGCCTCAGCCCCAGAGCAGATGTGCGTTTCGACCGTCTGTGTGGCGCTCTTTTGCTTATTCACAAGCCCGACCGCCTGTGTGGTGCTCGCGTTCCGTGTCGCAGGGATCCCGCGGTGCAGGTGGCATGGAGTCGAGTGCTTGACCATATTTGTCGGTCCGGTGCAGTGGAGCTGGTAGCACGTTTGCTCTAAAGCGCGCTGTCTCGCTTTCAGTGTGTCTGGACCTGGGGATTCAGCTTTGGGCAACCAGCCGCTTTGGCAGCTGAGCTGCTCGAGCTGAGGCCCGACCGCCTTTCAACATCATCCGTTCGCCCGGGGAAGAAAGAAATGGGTCATGAGACTGGGGCGAGAAGGAGGGTGGGCACAATGGTACTTGTATAAGTTTCGCGAGTCCCCGCCTGTCCATGCAGAAGCCCGGCCCATTAGAGCTGACGGGACATGGAAAGCAGAGACGCAGATGGTGAAACAAGGCGGTCAAAGAGAGGAGCGGGAGGAACGTTTTGAGCCATGTTGGAGGCTATCTTGGAGCATCGGAGGCCTTCTTCTAACTATTGGGTGTTTTGGGGGCGTCTTCGGGTCCTTGTGGGGGTCTGTTGAGGCATCTTGGGCTTTCTTGGGTTTCTGGGGGGTCTTGGGGTTCTCTCGGGGCCCTTGTGGGGCGTCTTGGGGCCATCTTGGGCCCCTTTGGGGGCTCTTTTGCGGCTCTCTTGGGGCTCTCCTGGGAGCTTCGGAGGGCCTCCTGGGGCCATCTTGGAGGCCATCGATCCAAGGAGGGGGGTCCTCGATTTTCTTCCCTTCTCTGGGGCCATCGACGTAGCTTCTTGGGGCGCTCTTGGGGCCCCCTGGGGGCGATCTTGGGCAGTTTTGGGGCCGTTTAGGGGGAAGATTGCCATGTTTGGAGCTCTCTTGGGCCATCGCTGGGCCATCTTGAGGCCCCAAAGGCGCATCGGAAGCGAGGAGGTCACGGGGCCAAACTCTTGTTTGTGTTCCAAAGGGTGTTAAACGGATTTTGGCTTTTCGGCGAGGTCCTGAGGGGTCTCCAAAAGCACTTGGATCCGTCTTGGGGTTTTATTGGGGCCTCTTGGAGGCATGCTGTCTGTTAGATCTATTGAGCCATGTTGGGCTATCCTGAGCGATCCTGCAGGCCACCTTGGGCTCTCTGAGGCCCTGTTGGTGCCACCTTGAGCGCACAAGGGCCCCCGTCAAGGTCCAGGGGGGGGTCGGGGGAGGAGCCAAGTTACCCACCCGCCCGCCCGCAAGCCGTCTTGCTCACTCCCACCCGCCCTCCCAACATACACGTAACAAATGAGGCTCAGCTTTCAGCGGTCGTCTTTGGATGCGCAGCTAGTGGGCTAGTGGGAACCAATATCGACGCCGTGTGCGCCACGCGTGCCACGCGCGCCACGCGCGCAAGACACCCCTGGGGCCCGAGCGTGCCAGACCAGCCTGGTGCGCCACATGCGCCACGTGCCTCCGCGTGCCCTGGTTGTGCCGCATCTTCCAGCCGCGTCACGTACGCCACGTTCGGGGCACGTGCAGAGTGTGTCAGGTGCGCCTGCGCACGTGACAGCACACATCGGGAAGCATGTCGTCCCCCACCATCCATGTCGCAAGCCACTGCATTATTTTGCCTGGTGCGCCTGCGCACAGCAGGTCATACGCCACCACTTGACAGTGATCGTGGGGCGGCCGCGCACGATCCAGATTTAGCAGCGAGGTGCATTTTACATGTTTTTGTCACGTGTGGTAGCCTTGTGCGCAGCATGCCATATGCTGACACCCCCGCGGTCCCTGTCAAAAAACTACAAAGTGCTCGCGGGCCTCACGGACATGACTCCAGACTTTGCCCTAAACCGCACCTCGTTTTGTTTTTTGACAGGGGTGGTGGGGGCGCATCGGGTTGGCCGCGCATGCTCCAAATGTGGAGGCAGAGAACGTGTTGTGTCGTTTTTGACTGGGATGGTGGGGTTGGGCCCTCATGGTTCCTGGCTGGCCGCCGGTCGCCTGGCGGAGGGGGTGAGAGTGTATAATGGCAGAGAACAGTGATAAGCCCCTCCCCGAAGGGAAAGACGGGTTGTGAAAGAGGAAATAGAAACATCGTCAGACCGCCTGTCGCCCAGAGACTGCCCGAAATTGTTTGGTGCGCACGTTCGTCCAGACAAGGTCCCAACACAGAGCTTCATGGGGGACACGGCTTTTGGTATTCGGGTGTCCGTTATCCCGCGGGCGTTTTTGAGGACGAGGAGAAGGAGGAGAGGGATGCGATGCCGACGACGATGATGCCGGGGGGCGATGGCGAAAGATGGTTGTGGAAGTGGTGGTGTTATTGCATGTTGTTATTTTCTCTTCGCCAGGTTTATTTTTGCTCAAGCTGCAGTTTCAGGTTGCAGTTTACTTGCGCCGCTGCTCTAGGGTTACCGCCCTGCAATCTGCCGTCAACGGCCGAGGATTTGTCCGGCCACAGGTGCCTCCTCCCCCCTCCTCCTCTTCCTCCTCATCCTCTTCCTTCCCCCCCCCCTTCTCCTCATCCCCCTCATCCTCATCCTTCTCTTCTCCCTCCCCCTGCCCCCCCTTCCTCCTCTTACTCCTCCTCCTTCTGTTTCTCCCCCTCCCTTGTTGTTCCCCCTCCTCCTTCAGCTTCACCTCCCCCTGCACCTTCCTTGCGGAGCACGGGCCAGAGCCAGAGCCCCGACGTCTGGAGTGTTCTGCCGTGCTGCTTTCGCAGAGGGCGGGAAGCGGGAGCGAAGGGCGAGGAGGCGGAGGCGGAGGACGAGGGAAGCCAGGAGGAGGAGGAGGAGGAGGAGGAGGCGAAGGACGAGGTGGAGCGAAGGAGGAGGCGGAGCGGAGGACGAGCAGGAGCGGAAGGACGAGGAGGAGCGAAGGACGAGGAGGAGCGAAGGATGAGGAGGAGGCGGAGGATCGAAGGACGAGGCGCAAGACAAGCGAGAGATTTGGAGGAGGGATCCGATCCTCCTCGCCCTCCCCCTCGCAAACCTCCTCCTCCTCTTCCTCCTCCTTTGCCCACCACTGAAAGAGCATATCAATGACACGCGCGGTGCCTTTCAAGCTGTGCGTGCTGCTCAGTTGCTCCCAGTGCAGTAACACTCTGGCCGAGTCGCCTGGCTGGTTGGACACTGGTGCTGTTATTGGACAGCGGGCGCGTGCACAACCTTTTGGTTCCTGGGTAAGCCTTGCCAGGATCGGCTCGCCAGTGCTTCTGATGCAACTCCTGGGAGGTTGCATGCAGCATCGACGCTGATATATCCATGGTCGAAGACCGGCCCAGCCTGGCATGCTCCAGCTTGATCTCTCGTAATCCCATTTCATTTCTTGCAATCGGGCAAGGCTCAATCCCAGGTGTATCGGCTGAATGTCTTTCTCATCGGCCTCAATACGGGGTCCCTAAAATGTTGTGGTGACCACACCGAGTGATGAGGGGGGGGATTCGGGGTTATTGCACGGTTTGGGGACTCTGGTCTTTCTCCGAGGACGTCTCGGGCGACAGGGGCCTCCGAGGTCCTAGGACCGTGCGTTGACGGACCGCGCGGTGAGGTTTTTTGTCGGATCTTGAGGTCACCGCGCGGTCCGTCACCTGACAGTTTCGGGACTCGCGATTAGCATTTCTTGATCGTTTTTACGGAGGGTTCTCAGGAATTGCGTCCTCAGAGCGTTTTGGGCTACTCGTTGCGTGCAGCCCGCCCCCTCGGACACTGGGCGATCTGTGCGAAGTAGGCCTCCTCGCCCGAGCTCCGTCCTCTGCTATCAGCGGGTCGACATTCAGACCGCGCGTGGGGCCGAGCTGATTTCTCCTCTCGTCGTCGTCACCCTCGCAGGGCCCACTGCGAGCCGACCGAGCCGATCCGATGACGATCTCGGTTGGCCCGACCCGCTTCGATTCCGATCTATCCCAGCGGCCTTTGGCGCCCCGATGTTTGCTTGGGCGTTGTTGCGCATCTTGCCGCGGCCGATCCGGTTCATTCCGATTAGTTTCCGATGCGGCCCGATCCGAAGTTCATAGGGGAAAGAACAATGACATAGCTATACAAACTCGGAGGTGCGCGTGGATTTCTCGGACCGGCGCTGGACCCCCCTGGCGCCGCCCCTGGCGCGCTCCGCGCGCCAGGGAGGGGGGGTCAGCGCCGATTCGAGAAACCCGCGCGGACCTTAGAGTTTTTTATGTTTATGTCATTGTTCGTTCCCCTAGTTCATTCCACATTTCAAGCGGCTCCGATCTCCCGATTCGATTATGATTGGTACTGTTCTCGACGTCCCGACCGACACCTCCCACGCTGTGCCTTCACGCAGCGTGGGCCTCGGGGGGTTCGACGACTTCCACAGGGCGGGCTTGTCTTCCCGAGTCGTCGTGTTGTGACGGTCCTGCGGCCCGGTGAGGGTCCCTGGAGGCGGATAGTTGCCAGGAGCCGTCACGGCGCGAGGAGGTGTGGGTACTCCTCCTCCTCCTCCTCCTCCTCCGCCTCCTCCTCCTCCCTCTGTCCCTCGTCCTCATCGTTTGCCTCCTCCCCTGCCGGAGGGGCCTCGCTCCGCCGAGGTTGTGCCCGCACGGCGCCGCTCCCAGCGATGTTGCCGCAGCACTTCGAGCTGCTGAAAGGCCCGCCCGCCCACGTGCTCAAAGGCATGATGAGGGGCGGCCGAGGAGTCTCACCAGGCCCAGACCTCTCGGCGCTGTGAAGACCGGGACGTTTTTTGGTGTTGGGGGTGGGGGAGTGGTGGGCTGACGATGCGGGACGACGGAGGAGTCCATTCCACCAGGGCGGAAGCCTGAGGCCCGCGCGTCGCAACAGAGGCAGTGACGGCCAGTCGCCCGGCATGTTTGATCTTTTCGGGTCGCGTCTCAGCCCCGGGGGATCGCCCAACGAGCGGTTTGCGATGAACATTTGGGAACACTTTGTGGGGTTGCCAACAGTTAACGGGCGAAGAACGGTATAAAATAAACTTTTTCGCTGTCGGGGGTGCCTGTCCCAGGGGGGTTGGAAAGTTTATACCCTTACGGTGGCACTGTAGGGGTATAAACTTGCCAGCCGCCCAGGGACAGGCGCCCCCGACAGCGAAACAGTTTTTTTATACCGTTCTTCGCTCGCTGAAAGAGGGTGTTGATGACCCGGGGGGGGATATCCCGATTTCATGGCGCCTCTTCTACAGCCAAGACGCTGAACAAAAACAATAGTTTGGGTTCGGAAAGGGCCCGATGTTCCTTAGGTTCCCCCAGTGCCGTTCCTCTTGCCCTCCTTGGGCACGGAGGCGCTTACAGGACCAAGAAGGGGCTTCGTTCCTTATTTTGCGTTCCTTCTTTCAGCGGCCCGACTGTACTCTCGGCACATCCGTTGGCCCTCCCAGGCCGCGTGCGTGCCTCGGGCCGTGATCTGCGAAGTCCCCTGTTGGAGGCCCCCGCTTGCCGATTCCTGGTCGAAGTTCCCCTCTGCTCTTGGTCCTCATGTGTGGTTCCCCGTGAAGGGTGTTTGCTCCTTCCTGAGTGTGAAGTCCGCTCACTTCCCCATCATATCCTTTCTTCCGCAACTATAGTGGCTCAGGTATTGGCAATAGACGAACAGTGCACTGCTCTCCGCGCAGAGCCGTGGAAAAAAAGGAGTCCTACTCCTCGCCTTTACCTGCGGACCCCGCATAGGAACAGCCCCTCGGCCGTCTCCCTATATATATATATATATACACACACTTCCTCGGCGCATGCCGTGGGTGGTTAATGCTGTTCACGCGGCCTGACGAGTTTTCTGGAGTATGGTGCTCATCAGGTGATGCCCCTGTGTCAGTGGCCACGCCGTCGCGGTCGCAGGAACGGGTGCAGATTGTTCCAGCTGTGAGTAGCATGGAGAGCTGAGCCTTGGGCAAGTTGGCAGCGTTCGCTCCTGATTCGACTACCCCCTCCGGAGCATGTGATGTTTTCCGCGCAAGCGCTGCAAGACGTCAACCAGGAGGTTCAGTACCGAGAGCGAGGGCAATCATTTTATGTGAGCGCTGTGAGGGTCCATCTCCAGCGTCCACATTGTGTGTTTGGATTCCGTACGCGGATGGGGAAATGTGAGTCACGAGCGTGGACAGGGAATATGCACTGCGCACGTTTCTCCCCCATCCTGCCAGTCTGCCGTTCCCCTCATGGTTCGTCGAGGGTTTTAATCGCCACGACCTGGACGCGTCTCGCAAACACTGGCCAGGACGGCGCGGACAACAACGGAGGTCGGAGGCCGGTTTCTTCATTCCATCCTCCTGGCCTTGCTCGTCCTCGCCATTCCGACGTTGGACCGCCACGAGGCGGCCGCTATCCCCTGTGTACCGGCTGGGGGGAAGGCTACGGCCCGAGCTTCGCCAGGCGAGGATGGCGAGTTTGATTCGGACGCCGATGATTTCGGCTTACGTCGCGGACTGCCAGGCTTTAGGCCCGTCCCCTAACAAAACCTCCGATGGTGGAAGTCTACACAACCACCGCGTGAGTAACCAACCCACGAAGATCCATGCCCACCGCCTCCTTATGTCCTCTGAGATCGGCTCCCCAGGCCCTAGTCATGGGCAGATCCTGGCCTAGCACTACTCTCCCCTCTTCCCCGTCGTCGCACTCCACTCCTCCTCCTCGCTCTCCCTTCCCTCCCTTGCAGGCGCGAGGGCTTGAGTCTCTGGGGGGGACGACCGATCCGCATCCCTGTCGTCGCGCTGGCCCGCAAGCCCGCGGGGTGGGTGCGCACGTGACGGGATAGTTCCGCGGCCCGATGGCCACGCCCGCCATCACAGCCTCCCCCAGCCGCTCCCGCCCCACCTGTCTCCCCCCACCCCCCTTATATATACACATATATATAATGCTCCTACCTACTTTTGCATCGATCACCAATGAGAGAGAGAGAGAGAGAAACTAGAGTTTCTAGCACCAAGGAAGCAACGAACCTGGGGGAAGTTCACGTGCCGGGCCCTGTGAGGCGACACTCGTTTGACATTGTTTCGATACTGTTCTTGGTGCTCGTGTTTATTTCTGGGGCGTGGTCGTACAGAACGATGGGAGCAACACGAGCTTTGTTTTCTCAGGCGTGCTTTGAGGCGCACGCGTCGCCTGAAGCGTCAGCAAGCCTGCGCGGGCAACAAGCTGGCCCTGTCTCCAAGCACCCTGAGCGAGGCAGGTGCTCCGACAGTCGACAGCCTCCGCCCAGCGTGAGGGCGACGAGTGGTGGTGAGGGGGTGCCGAGCGAGGGCGGCGGCAGGCATCCGGGATCGGGGAGGGAAAGGGGCATTGGAGGGGGGAGGGGGGAGGGGGACGGGAGAAAAGCCAAGAGCCAGCACGATGGCTCTAATGCGACAGGGGAGGGGCGGCCAGGGGAACGAGGTTAGTCTGCGGGGCGAGGGGAGGGCACGTCGGGTCGGATGAGGGGGGTATAGGCAAGTCGGGCGTGTCCCTCTACAGGAGGAATATCCAATAAGAGTCAGTGCGGGGATGATTTAGGGAGTATTTGTTGACTATTGTGTTTGTTGTTCGACTTTCTTAATCTTTCGTCCAAAATCCGCCTGTAGGGGAACATGCCCGATCTAAGGGTATTGGGAAAAGGGCGCCAGCACAGCGCACCCCACCTCGTTACCTGCACCACGCCGGCCTGCGGGGCAGGTTGCATCTAGATGGCACGGGGGATTCGCATCGCGCCGCGCCCGCCGCCTGGCGAGTGTGACCCGGCCCCACGGCCGCAACCGCCGCCACCAGCGGGAAGGCCCAAACTTCCCTCCTGGTCGGTGGAAGCCCCCAGAGTGGCTCGCCTGTGGGGGGATTCCTTGTGAGCACAGGGAGGTGCCCTTGGGCCTTCCTTCCACAGCTAGCGGTACCCAGCGTGGCCCCGCGGAGCCGTCTCGCCACCTGCCGCCGCGCCTGCCGCTACACACCGCTGCAGCTGCCACGCTTTCACTTCGTCTCCCCCTTGTTATGATTTCCATCCTCCTCCTCCTCCTCCCCTCCTCTTCGCCTGTCTGCCATTGTTACACTTGTTAGCGCTATCCTAGCATCCGGCGACCCGTAGAGCGGTGCTCTAGGGGTCGACTGGCCTCACTTCGAGCAGCCACCAGGGCCGACCGGCCCTTGGGGGGGAGGCAGCGCCCATCGGGGCCTCATGCCCACAGGAACCAGGGACCAGCAGGAGGAGGACGAGGATGAGGAGGAGGAGGTGGAGGAGGAGGAGGAGGAGGAGGGGGGAGGTCAGCGGAGGAGGAGGGGGAAGAGGACGACGACGACGAGAGGAGGAGAACGACGACGAGAGGAGGAGGAGGAGGATGATGGCCAGAGGGGTTAAAAACGAAGGAGGCGAGACGGCGCAGGACGAGAGGAGGAGGAGGAGGACGGCGCAGGAGCACAAAAGGAGGAGGACAAAAAGGAGAGAACCGGAGGAGCACGCGGAGGAGGAATTGGGGAAGGAGCGGGAGGGCGGAGCAGAACGAGGAGGGCGGAGGACGACCGCGCCAAGAGCCAGCGGCGCCCCTGTTGTCTTTCGCAGAGGGGCCGGCAGCGGGCCGCGCAGGCCTGATCAACCCCAACTACGCGGCGCAAGCCGAGCAGGCGCGCAACTCGCGCTCCAAGCTGGTGACGTCGCTGCTGACGCGCCGCCCTCGGCGCGAATACGACGAGGGCGACGAGGACGGCGCAGTGCAGTGTCAAGGGCCGAAAAGCTACCTCGACCCCCATGGCTGGCAATTGCGACACAGCCGTGTGCGTTGACTGAAACGCCGTTCCCTGTCCTACCCTTTCCCTGGGTGTATTTACTCAATGGCTTCGCCTGTCGGGGTGTTCATTCTGCAAGGAGCTTGTTCCTCCCCGACGAGTACGACGACGACGACGACGACGACGACGACGACGACGACGACGACGACGACGACGACGGCGACGACGACGACGACGGCGGCCTACCGGCGGTGCTCGCGCCGCCGGCACCGCTGGAGTGGCGCGGCGGCGAGGCGGTAAGGGGGCGGCGTCTGAGGGGGTGTAGCAGCCGGCGGGGGGCGGCGCCTGCAGGGGCTGCGCGTGGCGGCGGGGGAGGGCTCACCGCCCACCGAGCCACCCCAACCCAACCCGAAGGCCTCCCTCCTCCTCCTCCTCCTCCTCCTCCTCCTCCTCCTCCTCCTCCTCCTCCTCCTCCCGCCGTCCATTTCCAGTGGGGGGGGGGTCGGGGAGCATCGCACAAAGCACGTCTGGAACCCATACCCCCCCCCAACCCGAAATTCGGGTCTTCGGGTCGGGTTGGGGTGGTCTGGTGGGTAGTCAAGGGCGGCGCGTGGCGGCGGCGTCAGCCTCGGGCATGGGCTCTGGGCAGAGGATCTGCTGTGGTCGCCGCGGCCGGCCCTCCGCCTGCTGCCCTCGCTGCTGGTCTCTTGGCCTCTCGCTGGCCCCCCGCGCTGCGCCAGCACCCCTTTGGTACGACACCCACTCTCGGGGGCGGCGTTCCGCGCGCCCCAGGGCGAGCCCCAAGCCAGGGGAACAAGAAGTGACATAACATAAGAACTCGGAGGTCCGCGCGGATTTCTCGGATCGGCGCTGGGGCTCCCCGGCGGCGCCTCGGGCGCCGCCCCTGGCGCGCGGAGCGCGC